GACCTGAAAATTCTTTAAATAGAAGCCCTTTCAGAAGGCTCATGCGTTATCCGTTAAATAATTTATAAAATAAGTAAATAAATATTTTAGGACACATTTTTACACAACATTTTCTAGTCCCAAACTAAGCAACGCTTGTACTATGGGTACTAGAAAACTGATAAACATACTTAAACATACTTTTCTTTTGTAAATAAATACATATTATACATATATACCTACATATTATAACACCAAGACACTAGAAAAACACTATGTACTTCACACAATATGTTTCCAGTAGTGGGGATCGAACCCACACCCTCTGGCGCAGGACGCAGGTACACTACCAACTACGCCATTCGGGTCGTCAAAAGAATTCATATTATGATTCTCATATCTTTAATTCAGAGTATTATAACCATAGAAACATTAGTCAGCTGGGTGTGGTGTCGACTTGCTTTGCTAAGCAATTACTTTAAACACAGGAACCGTCGTTAATTCTTGTACGTAAATAAAATGACCGAGTGGTAGAGCTCGCCTTGAGAACGGCGCGTTTACCGACAATACGATGCCAAATTCGGAAGGCGTTCCATTTCTGTTAACAGCTTTTTTCGATTCACACTCGATCTTGAAGTCTGCAATCGATACCTCTAGTGTTTACATTTACCATAGACAGAATTAGGAGTCTTGTGAACAGTGCTTACCTGTGCACTGGTATGCACTGCAGTAGATATGTAATTGAACTAGTACTATGAATTAAATAATTCAAAAACCCGATTACTCGTAAGCTAAAAGTTTTTAAAAGGCCGACAATATCAAATTTGTTTGGAACATTTTTCAAAACTTTTTCACAATATCGTTTCGTCCGGTTAATGAGGTAACTAGAGACCCAACTTTCGCATCACGCCTGCAACATCTCTGGTGTTGTGAGACGATGGTCCTTACCACTAGGTGGTACAATAATAATACAGGAAGTAGATAACTGGGGAACCATTTGAAGTTACGTTTATTTTTGTTTACGGGCCACGCGGCGTTTAAACAAGGCCAACTCCTCGACGCTTTAGTCCGCTGTGACTTCAGTGAGGTTTCGGGAACTTCCTATAACTATTAAATATTTTCTTTGTTATTTCTTAGATAACACATTTTCTTTATTATTGCCTACCGTAGTCAGCGTATGGTACTGACCATGCAGCCATTACCATTCTAAAATGCAGTGGAGGCCCTTTTAATGCTATGTATGTGTTTATATTAGTCATGAAGCAAGGTCGTTAAAGGACCGTTATACGAAACCAACGCCCAAACCAAGTTTCCAAGATCGATCGAGAAAAAATTGTCTGGTCTGAATCACGCTTGACTACTAAACCATTTCATGGTTAGTGATGACGTCAGCCGCGATAAACACACTAGAGCTGGAAAAGCCTAATAGGTTTTACTTATGTAGGAGTCGGCAAGCTAGCCAGCAAAACACCTGGTCAGCACTGTCTTTAGTAATAAGAAAAATCGGAGAAGTTGAGTAGTAGGAAAGAAGTAGAAGTGTACACTTCTGCGTTTCGTCTGCTGAGTGAGGTAGCCTGGGCCCAGGTTATTAAAAGGTGGCAACGCTTCAGGAACTCTACGGGTGTACCTAAAATCAAGTGAACCGTCAGCGCGTTTTCCACTTTCTCACATAAAAAATAAGTGTTGGTGGCCTTTAAGAAAAAGGCTCACTTAATAAAGGACCATCGTCATATCGTCCCGGATGAATCACTGCGACGGTTAATTATATAAACTAGTAGTGGGTAAGAGAAAATTTGGGGAAAAAGCTCACTATTTCAATCTGTCAACTGTTGGGGTGATATTTATGTTATTTGTTTTGGTACCTCGTGTGGATGCGAAACTCAGCTGCCAGCATTAAACTGAACGAATCAGAGTGCTGTCTGTAATAGAAATTATGTAAAATGCACGTCAAGAAAAATTAAAGAATAGACGTGACTAAGGATAGCTCCTGAAGATTGTTGACGATACGATTTCTGCATTCCTTAAAGCATAGAGTTGCTGATGATATCAGAATATTTATGTAGGTGCTCTAGCTCCAGAAAATGAGATAAATATTTATTCCAGGTGCGGCCGAACTTGCGATCTACAAAGTTGCAGGTGATAGATCAACAGGAATACTATCAATACCAGGAATACTTCAATGACATCTAGCCTATTACCAGACCTTAAAAGTACCCTTAACTAAACTTACTTACATACGGTTTCGCGCGGGCAGAAAACTCGAAGCAAAATCTTTAAAGAAAGTTAGCTTTTTTAGACGCACATCTTATTCTAAAGTCCCAAAACGTCAGCTTTGGCGCTTTTGATTTCAACACGATTTACAAGTGTTGAGACTTCTAAACACTGACCTTTATTTTAGTTATCAAAAGAAGTTATCCGCTTATATTAGCGCAGGCGTATACAATAGTCGTAAATGATCAACTCTGCATAATATTACGGTAAACTTAGGTTTCGGATACTAAGCTTATAATTGTCCCTGACCAAAATGCACCCATTTTATCGATAAATTCAATTATTTTAAACGGTCTCGAATCCGAACTTTTACAACTCGTTGACAGCCAATTTATTCAATCGACTTTAGAACATCCGGTCGGCTTGAATTAAGTTAAAGTTAAGCACTATCAATCTTACTTATTTGCTGATCTGAAAATTACGTTGGTGAACAGGCATTTTGTGACTGGTCCTAATAGTACTGAAACTAGGTCGGCTTTCATATATGTACGTAAGATTAAAGATTGTAAATATATTACATGTAAATAAAACCATTTAATGCGATATCACCCGAATGGTTCTTTTGGATATAATAAAATTTTATTTGATAAAAGCTGTCATAAATACTTATGTAAGGTAAAAGCCATGTCCATTCCAAATTTCATTCGAATCTCTTTTGGTGTTGCTGGGTGGTCACCAACACAATAGCTCACAGACAATCGAAATTACCATAATTAATTGAGGGCCATTTTGAAAAACAAGTCCTTATTAGGGTTCCGTACCTAAAGGGTAAAACGGGACCCCATTACTAAGACTCCACTGTCTGTCTGTCTGTTCTTCTGTCACCAGGCTGTATCTCATGAACCGTGATAGTTAGACAGTTGAAATTTTTGATTTATTTTTGTTGCCACTAAAATAACAAATATTAAAAAACTGATTTAAAAAAATATTTATGTGGGGCTCCTATACAAAACAGACATGATTTTAATCACGGAACCCTTCGTGAGCGAGGCCGGCTCGCATTTGGCTGGTTTTTTTTTAATTTCTATATAGTTTCCTAATTAATTTGCAGAACCAGTATTAATTTTTGAGTTGCCGGCAGTAATTACCTATCATAATTTGTTACATCATAAGCTAATTAAATTCCTATCTTATCACAACGGTGTCCTGAATCCATTCCCTAATCTGGTGTAGAGATAGAAGCGAAAACAATTGATTGCAGTCTTTGTTTCGCGCCAAAATTTCATTAAAACGCTACCCTGTTAACACTTCAGTAAGCATAATATAATTAAATTAAATTAATAATAGAAAACTTAAGAAATACGACAACAGTTGCACCGGGAAAACCACTTGTATAACACTTCACAGAACCGGATATGAGAATGATTTTTTTCTTCAAACAGTGGTTGTCAAACGTTAGTGTAGAACGTCATATCATGTTAGATTTTCGAAACTTAAAGTCGAAATAATGGAAACGTTTGAATATTAATTTTGTGTTGCCAACCGTACAGCATTAGCAGAAATGTGTGAATTTTTCGCATTTATGATAAGATTTGAAATGAAGCGCTCGGGTAATATAGATTATTCCGCAATTGTTTTCTTTACCTAAATAGTGGATTTTATTCAAAATAAAGAGAAACTAAGGCAATTAAGGCGATTAATAAATATGCATAAAAATAAGACAGGTAGACACTTTTCTTACTGCGTTAAAGGAATGAAAGATGGGTCGCTTATTTTGATTTTATCTGGAAGTGTCTGTCAGCAGCTTTAGCCTTCATAAATAACGAAATTAATCACGCCGTAGTCAATATATTAGATTTATTACACCCGTATGTTCTAGTAATAACGGGAATCAAAATTTTCATTGCGTAACTAAGACTGCGTTGAACCGCTAATGTGGAGGAGCACTTAAGAGGTCTCCTGATACCGCAGTTTAAGGAGTGATGCGATAAATATTATAATGTAATTGGAAATTGCCGCGGTTGTGATCGTTATATTATGGTCTAAAAGCGATAAGCTGACAGGCGACCCTGTCACACTCGATAAACACTCCAAAATTACGCCATCTTGCGAAATGACTGCTGTGTCTCTTTTAAATGCGAATCTGTTTCTTTAGACGCGTACAATCGGGTTAAGGTTAGTCTCGATTCCTTAAAAGTGTATCCGGAACCTCTGTGTTTAATATTAATGTTTTTGATACATTTGCTCTTTTAGCTGCGAACTAAATGACACCGCAAGACGGAATTAAAGCGACCGTAGGAGGTAGCACAAGGTTGATATCGAAATGTTAGGAAAGAATTAAAATCTAGATTATCGACCACGACATAATGTTCTAAATAGGTACGTTTTCGTATGAATGATGTTGTGTATATATGAAGTCCCATGTTTTGGATCGTCACTTTTTTGATGTTTTTTAACGTTATTGTAAGGATTACGGATGTTTGCACACACAAATTTCATACATACCAACACCCAGATCTTTCTTCAAATAAACGAATAAAAAGACCAAACAAATTTAAAATACTAGTATATAGAAGAAACCTCAGATTATAATCGCAGATTTCAAACATACATTGTATTGTAACTTGCGCGCTTATCATCAAAGGCTGCATCGTCACTTACCATCACGTGGGATGGCAGTCAAGTGCCGGCCAGTTCTAAATAAGAAAAAAATTGACTTGTAAAGATGTGTAATCAAACGCTTATTACATACATATTTCAAATATCATTAAACGTACTTTCTCTCAAACAGCCGTTTCCTCTTCTTACAGGACCTTCGCACGCTGCTAAAGTCAAAGCATGTCCAAGGTCTGGAGTTGCACGATGCGCACCGCACCATCAACAGGACGAAAGTGTTGGAGATGGTGGACTCCGCGCGTGCGGCTATCAGCTCAAACGGCGGTGGACCGCTGTTCCTCGCGCTACCCGCGCACCCCGAGCTCTTGGCGAAATACTACGACCTCCGCGAGCTGGTTAAGAAGACCGACCTGATGATTGTCCAGACCCACGCTTTGGGGCTGGTGAAGAGGATGACCTACCATCCGAGCAGGCTGAGCGGCCTTTGGGACATGATGAACACCGTAAGTATCAACAAAGCCTTGTAATAATCGAAAAACCATCGAGCAATTTTCAATCCCTTTGAAAATTGATCACTTTGATACAAGTACGATCGCTCGGAAAGTACCCCGGCCTCACAGAAGGCCGTATATTAAAGGCCATCTCCGTAAGAGGGTATCAGTTCATAGTCCACCACGCGACCCCACTGCGGATTGGCGGACTTCACATATCTTCGATAAATATGTCTTTTGTATTATTTCGAAAATATGCAGGTTTCCCCACGATGTTTTCCTTCACCGCGGAGTACGTGATAAGTCACCCAAAATTAACATTTTCATTGGTGCTGGGACCCGGGATCGAACTCGGGTTGCTTGACTAAATTGAATTAAAAGCGAGCGCCTGAACACTGAGCTATCGCGGGTCTTGTTTATAATAGAAAGCAGTATCAAGTAATCATATGTATATTATTTCCTATGAAAACATTCACCACCATCCACCGTAATGTTGGACGCCGCTCGACTGGGCTGACCCGCCCGGAGAGGTATCAAAATTTAGCAGAAGTCTGAAAACCCGAATACTTGTACACTTTTGAAGGTTGGCAAATCATCCTTGAGCAAACAATTGCTTGTGTGTAATACTAAATATGATACTAATAATAAAAATGTCGCCAAGGTAAAAACGACCCGAATGGCGCAGTGGGTAGTGCAACTGCTTCCTGCGTCAGAGGCTGTGGTTTCAATATCTACCATTGGAAAATTATCGTGTGATGAACATAGCGTTTTTCTGGTGTCTGGGTGTTTGTTTATTTCAAAAGTATGTTCAAGTATGTTTATCAGTTATCTAGTACCCATAGTACAAGCGTTGCTTAGTTTGGGACTAGAGAATGCTGTGTAAAAATGTGTCCTAAAATATTTATTTATTTTTAATTTATGTGGTGGGATTATTTTTTACTATAGCAATACATTTACTGACGTCCTCGGCAAACGTTGATTATTCATTTCTTACCTCCAAGGCAGGCAGATTCGAGTGTTAGACGATCGAGCGCGCATTATGCGTCTTGAATCAATTATAAATCAAAAACTAAGGACGCAAGAATAAACTATCTTTCGAAACGCAACGCTTAACTATAGCACTTTGTATTCATGAGGAGCGAAAACGCGTCTCCGAAAATTCACTCGGGCCGTAAAACTGCCCAACGAGAAGCGTCGCCGGATAAGTGACATTAAGTAATGGCCTTTTTATCGTGGTATATGATTTTAAACGCCCGTAAAGGTACGCGATGATAAAGAAATTTAAGCCGTAATCAAATTTTTACGACCACAAAATTACATAACTTTATTATACGCTCGTAACATAAAAATGCTTTCAAATCTTGCGAATTTTTGAGAAAAACTGTATTTAAAATTAGGCTATTAACTGAAAGAAAAAAATATGCTTTCTCTTCTATATGTAACATCTTAATGCATCTTTATAGGAGCGTTACTTACGAGAATAGCGTTACGGTTAAAAGCAAATATCAATAATTACCAAAGAAACCACATGACAATACGACCAAAGAATAAGTTATGATTATAGTACAAACTTAAAATCTTGAAAAATAAACTAAAAACTTATGTTCTTTTAAACTATGGTATAGGTACAATAATACTGGTAATTTTACTGATTTGCAAAATAAAATTAGTTTTATTGTAAATACTTGCATTTGTTTATTTTTAATTTTATAATTTGACATTCAAGAACTAATTACCTTAGAGTTCTTTTAAAGTTTCGTTCAAGTTAAATAGTTAAGTTTTAAATATTCCTTCGTCATCATTACAAGTCTAATCAACGTAACAAAATGATACTGTTAAATGGAACATATAAATTGTAATCTACATTAATTGAGTGTAATAAAAAATATTTACATTATTTCTAAACTTATAATAAAGTAGGTATAAATGATGTTATTTATGTAAATTCTTTCGTAAATCGTTTGTAAATTACAGCGTAATAATTTGTACGATTTCCTGTGATGAATGTCGGGACATTTAGTATATAGTGTTATCAAGATTCGCCATATTTATCTAATGGTGTCAGAGTTTTCTTGTATTAAATAATTTGAATGCCACGTAATTTACACCGCAAAAAACGTAAACTTGATCTGTGTAAGTTTTAAACAATTTAGCTTCCACTTTTCAGTTTTTCGGAATTCTTAAAAAAAATCACTGTCTAACATTCCTTACAGTAACATTCTAAACATCAGCTTTTCGCTCTTTACGCCGGTCTTCTGTGAGGTCGTGGTACTTACCCGGACGGGCCTGCCCATTCGTGCAACAGCCGAGGCGGCTGCGTGGCCCTACCACCGTTAATGAAATTTATGATTAATGAAATTTAAAACTTTACTTAATTTAAGAAAAAACACATTATTAAACACATCATTAAAATTGTTCTGGCTGCAGGTATTTTTCAATAAGTTAATGTTCATTGAATTATCTTTGTCTATCATTTTTTACTGTTACAAATTTAGTTACATAGTGTCAAGAAAATCATTTTGCTTTGACCATTATTAATCTAGGCAACTCTAGGTGCCCTCACCACGCCTCACTTTACGTAACTAAGTAAACTATAAAAATGATGGAAATATCTCGTATACATTTTATATTTAATATATATATTTATAAAGTTCAAATAATATACTCAGAAATAATATACAGTGATTCGCGTGAACCCTTTTGTAAAATATATATCGTGTATAAACTGGCTGCAGCTAATTTATTAGGTCGAAAGGCCTAGGCCTTTTCTATTAAACTTAAATAACATAGAAGTAAATAGCAAATAAGAGGCATCCGCAAATATTTGCGAGGTAGTCTTCACGGTTTTATTATTAAATTGTTGTTATATGTCTAGAACAGAAATGGTGTCAATACTAAACCTTGAGGGACACCCATTGGCAATGAGAATACCGATGATAAAAATTCAATAATCGCTTTTGGTTGTGCTCTATGCGATACATAATAAGATACAAACTTAAGAGCAGGCTTATATTACATACATTAAAATATATGAAATAATTGATATAAAATATTTTGATCCTCATAATGGAAGCTCTTGGTAAGGTCACGGAAAACACCAATGCTTTTTTTTATGTGAAAAAGTGCAAACGAACTGGCTATTCACCTGACGTTAAGCGATAGACCGCTGTCCTTAGAGATAGAACACCCGTAGGTTTGCAACTGCGTTGCCACCTTTAAATAAAGAGGGCTAAAGCTATATACACTGTAATATTATTCTTCCCCATCCGGGAGGTTAAGAGATCTAGTCGACTTTCAACTTTTTATATTACTTTTAGCTTGAATCCAAGAAATATTTAAAGGCTAACTAGAGATAGGTTTAGAAAACGCTAGTGTGTCAAAGATAGGATAAATCTGAAAGGTACTTTTATAAGCGAGCCTAGTTGTGACATTACGTTATATTTAGTCCGTACTCTAAGGCGAAGGTGAGCCGGGCTAAGATTGCAAGAAAAATTCAACTATTATAAGATTTCAATGACAAGACTGTATTTTCAACCTTATGTCATACAGCGTACCGTTCATTAGGGATTGTGCCAATTGCGTGATGCTTACAATGTTCCCTTATACAATTTTGTACAACTAGGCCAAGCGACAGGTGCATCTCTGGTGATTAAAATCCACCAACTTTTAAGGTAAAGAGTAATCTTATAGTATATTATTGGGTAGATCGTTATTGGTCATCTCATGAGAATTTTAGAATGTCTAGAATTATATGTACGCGTAAATCTCTTTAGATGTAGATAGAACATGAATATGTAATGAGTTAAAAATTTCTAAAATTAAAACAATTCATTAAGTAAAAAAAAGTAGTCAGTAAATCATTTTACAGTAGTGTAAATTATGTTTACAATAATGTAAATTACAAAATTTTAACTAATTTCCTTATAAACTTATGAGAAGATTATAAGGAAATTAGTAAAAAAATAAGTTTTGTAACCCATAGTTTTTAATTTAAATGGTTTGCTGTTAATTTTCATGTAGGCGCTATTTATTTCACATACTATTCCAAAGTAAGTAATATTTTTTTGATTTACGTAAGATTTTAATTGACCTGGCCATCCAAAATTAGAACACTTCAGCTTTCGTTAATGCGTGATTTGCCTGACGTGAAGTTTGACAACGCATCTGAAGCCAGACAGAGCACTTACTGTCATGTGGCACCATTTCCTCGATAGCCACCCACATACATGTCTAAGATACACATGAAACGCTGCATGTAATGCATTAAAATCAAAGAGGTAAGGATATAATATGAATACGACGGCGAAGTTCTGAAAAAAGTTCAATTTTTATTTCATTTTGTGTCATATATCTTGTCTGTTATATCTTGTCTATGCATGAAACATGACGTTTATATAAATAGCATTTTGAAAAGATTCATTGACTTAGATCACTTCATAAATAAATGTTACCTAACCCAATGATGGCCCTCGATTTCTGGGATGCCATCGTCAGATCCGGGTTTCCTTATCATGGTACCACCCTTGGGATATCTCCTTTCCGACAAAAAAGAATCATCAAAATCGGCTCATAAACGACGAAGTTATGCGCGAACACACAAAAAAAAATAAAAAAATATACGGTCGAATTGAGAAACCTCCTCCTTTTTTGAAGTCGGTTAAAATATATTTTTTTAATCATAATGTTAGTTTCTCCCAATGATTTTTAAACCATTGTTTTTTTTCTTCTGAAATTAATTAATGGCTTGTATAAGAAGATATTAGAAGGTAGCCTTATGGGTGTTTTACAACAGTGAATTGTGTTTGCGTGTTTGCAGGACTCTGTTGTCGACTTAGTCATCGGCCTGGGCGTGCCACCGTCCAAAATCGTGGTCAGCTTACCCGCCACCGCCCGCCAGTTCACCCTGCTAAACGAGACCCTCAGTACTCCCGGCAGCCCGACGTTGGAGGAAGACCCTAAGGAGATAGACCAGTCCGAACTGTGCAGGCAGCTGCAGAGAGGACGCTGGACTTTGGAAAGGGATCAGGATTTATCAGCGCCATACGCATTCAAGTAAGTTCACAATAACATTTCGGTCGCGATGTCTGTTTGATTTCGTATTAAGGCAGTAGCTTCTGCTGTCGCAAAAAAAATAAATACATACCACGGAAGACAGATGTAACAGTTATTACAGTTTTTTTCAAGTGGGAACCCGTAGACCCCTCCTGACATTTCATATGTGTTCAGTAGACATCACACTATACGTTAATGTCACATTGTAGAGCAGATAAGCTATTTCACGGATTTCTTCGCGTTTTATTTTGATTATAATTTCCCGACCTCTCGATGCTTAAACAGCGTATATGGTCACACTTTAGACAATTGTTTCTCCTTGTTTCATTAGTTCGTGTGACACGCCTCCACAACACAAAATTCTCGTATCCCAAAATATTATTTGATTTAAAAAAAGAAGAGAGAAAAGAAAAATCTAGTTTCTTCCACTAATTTCACTTTCTATTGCTTTTTTTTTATTCAGAGATAAATTTAATCTAGATCAGTCAACGACAGTTTTACCAAACTGAAATTAGTCAATAGCTGAATTCCACCAGCCTTTTTTTGCATATGCAATGAGCAAACATTATAATTAAAATAAATGGCTTTAAACAAGATAAGGATTGTGTAAATGACGAATTGAATCTAAATCATTATCACCTATTTCATTAGATATTCGTAGAATGCCATTAGTGGGCAATAAAGAGCGTTGCTTTTGAAATTATTGTAATAAAAACCGTACAAATATCTTAATTAATATGGATTTGTACCGCGGTGATGGAACTGAGGATTTTTTTAATAAATTTGTCAACACAAATATCTTATATATGTAAAAAATTGTTATTTATTTATTTGTTGATTCGTAATAAATATTGCTTAAAATATTCGGTAATCAACATTCGACACGATGAATTAACAAACATTTACGTTTTGATATAAGATATAAAAGGAAATAGAATTTTTTTTGAAAAACTTTTAGAAACTACTAAAACAGACTTGTTTTAAAAAAAATATCTTTATTGTTAGAAATGTTTAAATATATGTAATGAATAAAATTTGTTCAAACATATCTCATTATTATGAAAATTAAAAAAAATAATTTTATCCACCAGTAGGTAGACAGAATTTTATTTGAAATTTTGGATACTACAATTATTTAATTTGAAACTTTATGTATTAATATACGCATAAGAATTTTTAGGTACCTATAATATTAAGTGATTCAAAAGCAGGCTCTTAGAACCTCTTTATAGTATCGGCCATTGCTGAGATTTACATGCATATAGTACCTGTTGGCTAATTCAACTTATGCTTTCCGTTTGTATTTTTATTGCCTGTTGGCTAATTACTATTTTTACATTACATTTTTACATTGTTTCTACATTTTTAAATCACATGTTGGCTAATTCAACGTGACACTACGTGACGTTATCAAATGCCTTGGCAAAAGTAACTAAGTCATAAGCGGCTCTCTGTCTTGTTCTAGAAACAAGACGTGGATCTCCTTCGAAGACTCTTCCTCTGTAGACGTGAAGGGTAAATACGCCCGGGTGAGGGGTCTCGCTGGGCTGGCGCTCCACAAGGCTGACAAAGACATCGACACGCCGTGTGGACCCACGCTGAGGGCAAGCCTGGCCAAGGTCCTCAACCAGCAAAGTCGCGCACCGAGAGCTGCTGTGCTGAGGTAGGGGATTTCCAATCATATTTGATGATGTTTAATTTTGATAGGGCCAAACAAGCCACTGTTTCACAAATCGGCACGTGTGTCCGTGCAAGTGTTACGCTTCTGCGCTTCGTGTGGTGAGTGAGGTAACCGGGGCCCATCTTCAACGCATCTGGGTGTTGCAAATGTCCATCTGCGGTTGTCACTTAACCTCAGGTGAACTGTCAGTTGGCTTGCCACATCACATTAAAAAAATAATAACAGTAGTTATTTCTAAATAACCACCCGACCTCTATCGAAACAAGTATATTATTAACTATCATTGTACAGTGCTTATTGTTCACTCTTCTTCTCAATGGTAAAGTACGAAAGTAATTATTGATGTATACACCGGTGATTTGAGTATGCGGTCTCAAATCTCGAAACCTCAGACGAACTTACATTGTATTCACAAATGTTTTTACTGCGGAATAAAGCTAAACAAAGTTGTAGACCTGTTTTGGAAGAGTTGCGAAATATCAAATCTGTAACCAGCACCTAATACATTGATGCCATCTCAATTTTCGAAACCAAGCTTATCGCTGAATATATTTATTTCCAGGTCTCTCGAAAATGAGATCCTGTCAGCCCAAGGTCAAGCGCGACCTCTGGACGCTCTCCAGGTGTCCCCGTACCGCATCACACAGGTCGTCGATTCCGATGGTGTTATACACTCCATCAGAGAGGTAAGATATATAAATCAGGTTCTGAAATGATGTAGTTTATTTGTTACTACATCTGTCCTTTAAAATGCATAATCTAGAGTCTAATGCATCCTGTGATCTGAGAGCATCGTTATATAGTAGTTCAAAGTTTATTTTTGTTCGTAAAAAAAATAATTACATGGGTTAGAAATCAAGTCAGTCAAAAAGGTCTGTAACTGTAACTACGTTCTGAAATTCTCCACGAACGCAGCTTGAATTGTGTCAACTATTATTGTTCTTTCTATCAAACTAAATACATAACGTCTTATCAAGTCTTTGTACTGTCATGTAAAGTTCTATTCTATTACTTGTATTAAATAGAACTTTGGCGTAATCTTTAGTTAATAATTGAAAGCAACCTTTTAAGTGTTTTTATTTTGTAAGGCTGGTTCAACATTACTAAAAAAAACTCCCTCATAGTAGCATGCAAAATAAGAAATTATACAAAGCAGAAACTTTAACTTAACCCATGTTGTAGCCTGTCTAACATTTTTTAAGCGAATTTAAACAATAACTATCTCAATTCCAGGATACAAGGACGGAGTTCTCGTGTTCCCGCCAAGGTTACTTCGTGCACCCTCGCTCCTGCGCCAGATTCTACCGTTGCGTGAAATTCGACCAATATTCTCCCGACTATACTGTGAGTGCTTGTTCTCAAGGATTTGTGGTTAGAGGATCAGGCTGCCGAGCCGCTTTGTAGATTTGACTCCCAACTTTTTGACTTTTATTACTATTAAGAGGGTTTTTGTTTTAATTTTGTACTAGTAAATAAGAAAATACGTGTTTATTTTAGTTTGTTTATTATTAGAAGTATATGGTAACCTAGTAGACTAGTAGTCTAACATAGAATGATTGGAAGAATTTTGAATACTAAAGGACAATATAAAAGCCAGTATTATAACAGTTTTTTTTTTTCACTCAAAGATTCGTAGCAAACTATCACAAAGCTTTGAGGAAAGGACTATAAAATATGGGTAGACTTAGCAAAGCTCATATGAGAAAACGGCTCGCACCCTTACTGTAAGCCGTTAAGGGTCTATTGATCATCATATTCGACAACGATAATTACTTGACCATAACGAAGTAGGTGACTCAAATAACCCAATAGCCTTTAAAAGATTCGGCCGAGCTCTTAATAATTTGCTCCTCAGAATTGAAGATATACTTTACTTTGTCATGGATCCCATAATCAGAACCTAACCAAAGTTTCATTTAACTACCCTTGAAATCCTTTCATTTAACTACTCTTACTTTCCAATAAAAAAAATCATCGAAATCGGTTGACGTGATATTTACTTATTTGATTTGTTGAGCACAAACTTAATGCAAATTTATGACTTATATGGTTTTCTCATGGATACCGTTGTCAGAACTGCACCAAATTGACTGCAAAATCAAAATTTTTTTTTTCAAATATACTAAATTTTCTTTCAAATCAAAAACAGAACCGTCAGAATCGGTTCGCCCAGTCGAAAGTTCTGAAGTAATTAACACAAAAAAAATACAGTCGAATTGAGAACCTCCTTCTTTTTTTGAAGTCGGTTAAAATGCGTCGTTCGCCAGGTGTTCGAATTCGACTGCCCGACGGGTCTCGCGTTCGATTCTCGCTACGAGGTGTGCGTGTGGCCGGGCAGCTTGCCGAACTCGCAGGCCTGCCCCGGCACCTCGGAGATCGCCCCCGTCCCGAGGACAAGATTCGTCTGCCCTGATGTCGAAGGTAATACCAACTAGTTCAGTTACTTCGAATCATAACACATGAAAACATGTTAACATGTGAAAACATGTCAACATGTGAAAACATGTCAACATGTCAACATGTGAAAACATGTCAATATGTGAAAACATGTCAACATGTGAAAACATGTTAATATGTGAAAACATGTTAACAGGTGAAAAAATGTTAGCATGTGAAACATGTCAATATGTGAAAACAAGTTATTGGTTTATTTTGTAAATGTGCTGTATTACAAATCTTTCTTTAGTTGTATCTTTTTGCGAAGAAAAATGACAATAGTTTTTTATCTGAAACATTGGCCACCGTACAAGCACTTCGTCTACTTGCCAAGTAATTATCGACGCCCATGAACATCTACATTGCCGACATAGCTCAGAGCCATAAGCTGAGTGGCAATAGGCCGTCCATGTAGCTGGAAGAACTGATAAGCGATTAGGAAGAAAGGTGCCTCGAGTGGCAGCCTCGTATTGGCCATAGTAGTGTAGTACGTTCCACTAGATGGAGCGACGACCTGTGCAAGTGTGCGGGATGTTGATGCAAATCGCTCTGGATCCTGCTTGGTGGCAGATTCTGAGGAGGCCTATGTTCAGCAGTGGACTCTTGCAGATGCGTGGTCGACCTTTGAAAAAGTAGATTTTTCTTGCGCAAAACCGGTTACATCGGCTTTTAAACTTACCGTAACGGTTTATGCTGACATAAGTAAACTATTTATATGTATATTCGGATTAATATACCAGACATATAGATGTAACTTGAAATACGTAATTATAAAGGTGCCGGAACTAAACAGGTGTGCAAAAGTGCAGGTCTAAGTAGGCAATGACAAAAATAAGATTCAAAGACAGTTGTTTTCAATAATAATTTGCAATCATCAAATAGAGATTACGACAAGTCAATGCGAATATAAATAAAACATACCTATTTCAGTTTTTTATCTGTAAAAACAGTTTTCAACTGGCATACTACTGTGAACACTACAACCCTCAGGATTTTACGTGGACCCGGAGAACTGCCGCTGGTTCTTCGCTTGCCTGGACCACGGGAAGGCGCCGCTGACCGCCTACGAGTTCCGCTGCCCGTTCGGTCTCGGGTTCGACGCAGCGCGGCTCAAGTGCGACTGGCCGTGGCTGGTGCCGGGGTGCGGGGACATCGGCAGATACGAGGCGGAGGCGTACGGATTCTCCGGGGCGACGCTCACAGGTCCGCACACACAGCCTGTCATTTCACACGTACACACACCCGCACAAACACACGAATACTTGTGCACACACATAAATATGATCCTTGTATATACAAGTATGATGTACTTGTATATAACGTATATAATATATGTGGGTGAAGAAATCAGGAAACGAGAAACGTTTCATTGTTGAATTTCTTAAACTCCTTGGGAGAGATCTGGTTCGATCGTCTTCTCTATTATGGAACAAGCAGAAAAACTCTACCGTCTTCCTTACACGATTGCGTTACAAAGATGCTAAAGTAAGGAATTTATTTAAAAAAATTATTGAGTTTCTTTGTCACGCAATAATTTTTTAACTTAGTTTAAAGTCTTACGCTGTGATTATTGACCAGGTCCGCAAATAAGTGATCTTTAAAAATATTGATTTCTTATAAACGATTTAAATAAGACAGAAGCTAGGTCAAAAAATTTTTTCAAAGAACGAAACTTCCGTTGCAGGTGCTCTCGGCTTCCGGGGTAAGACGGCAGACTCTGTCAACGTAGCAGCTCATCAGAGCCTGGTCTCTGGGGCGTCCTTGGACAACTTGGTGGGAATACAAGGCGGGTTCCTGACAAGGGGCGACGCTATAGACGGGAACTACATCACCTCTGAGGAGCTGGTCGGCGGCGCCAGCAACGACTACGTGTTGACGAACGACGCCTCGAGCCTCGTCGAGAGCGTCGTGAGATACGATAACGGCGGTGCTCAATCCGCGGCTAACGTCGGTCAAGCGACCAACTACAACAACGAGCCCGAATACACGAGCGGCTCGCTGATCTTGGACGACTACAGGCTGCCGACCGACAAATCTGGTGCCGGCCGCTCCAATGTCCAGAGCGTGGGCGCGACGGAATCGTACACCCAGAGCGCGCGGGTGACCAGCTCGATCCGCAAGAACACCGGCAAGTACGACAGCAGGTACAACACCGGCCAATACAGGCCGCAGGCGTACAGCGGCGGCCGATTCAACGACGGTAAATACAGGCCCTCCAACACCGGCAAGTACGTGCACGACCCAACCGGCGATAAGGCGCTGCCGTACAACCACATCTCGTCCCCCGTTGTGCCGTACAAGCACGTGGACTACGGCTACACTGTCACGAAGGGCTTCGACGTCGGGCGGTACAACGGAACGTGGTCGTACGACGACAAGCAGTCCGGCGGATATCACTACGACAGGCCCGCCGGGCCGGCGTTCGAGGAGGGCGGAGACGTTAACGGGTACACGGGCTCGTACAACGTCAACGGCTACGTCGGCACGTACGACGCCGGCGCGATAAACGTCGGCCTAGTCGGTAAGACGACGCTGGTCGACGTCGGCTACACTGGCCAGGGGTACGATTACACCCAAACGGGCCAGCCGTCGTATGTCTCTAAGCCGGCTGTGACAGTGAATCACGCAGGCACGGACTTCCGCAACCTGGACGGATACAGCTTCGTCACCAATCCCACCTCCTCCGGGATCCCCACGACCGCCACGCCGTTCGCGGTCACCACAGCTCTGCCGACGGTCACCACTTACAGGACAACGTACGTGCCTTTAGCTCCGAGGACAAGCGTTAAGCAAATCTTCGGCTACACTCCGTCGCCTGTCACCTTCGTGACACCTAAAGTGGAAGTCGTCGATTACAATGTCAATACGAATTATCGGAGCGAAGCCAAGGCCTCGACTTACGGCGCAGGTGTCACTACGGGTTATGACTACCCTCGGCCCAGTGTCAAATTCGAAGAGGGCTTGTCTTTCACTACTGCCGCGCCGACGGTGTCATTGTCCCAAGGCTTTGGCCATCAACAGCAAACTGTCCATGGCGTGGCGTCAGATATCGCCGAACTAACTCCTGTAACCGAACAGCCTTTCAAAAAATTGGTGGCATACACTACTGGACCACCAGCTTCCTCGTACTCTCAACAAACTGTGAACAGGGTTAATGCGGCGAACGTGTACACGACTGGCACTGGGTCCACTAACTACAAAGAAGGTGGGTCTACTGTCACATTTGTACAACCACAGAACGTGGTATATACTCAACAAACATTACCAACTGTCTCCGTCCAACCAGCTGTGTCAACATATCAGCCGCAAGCTTATAGCCAGCAAACGATCCATAAGGTAGACGCTAGCAGAATTAACGCCTTCGCCCAAAACGAGGGAGCTAGCTACCAATATACAAATCCGGGCAGCTACGACGAAACACAGAAAACTGTTATCCAATACACAACACCTACTCCATTAGTGACATCGACTTACAGCCCACAAGCATTTAGTCAACAGACTATTAGAAAAATTGAAACGCAGAAATTCTATCCCGTTTCGTCCACAGTTCGCCCTATCCTCCGAGAACAATTCACATATCAGACAACACCCGTGACGTTGTACGAAAATCCGATCCTCAAATTCGCTCAAAAGTCTACGCCACAAACATATGTGACTTCTACTTATGCGCCACTGACCTATAGCCAGCAAACAATAAACAGAGGCAGCAGTGCGAAAGCGACCGCAAACGCCGAGTACGCGTATACAAAGTCCGGTGTTGCTTATGAGCAGCCCCAAACTTTCATACAGTTTTCGACTGTTCAACCAGCTATTTCTATTCAACCCGCTGTGTCCACTTACCAACCGCAATCATACAGTCAACAAACTTATCATAAGGTCGACGCCGGACAAGTCAATACTTATACTCAAGGCGCGTCAGTAGACGGATATTACGACACACAGCCCGTTGTTGATTTAGGTGAAGCCAAGACGATTATAGAGTCGTCCACCGCTTCACCCATTATTACATCCACTTACAGACCATTTAAACAAAGAGTTCAAATACAAAAGCTGGCGCCTGTGTCATCTACATCGCTTCCTCGAGTTGATTTGACATATCAGCAACCAGCCGTATCTATTTACGAGAATCCAATTTTGAAATACACACAGAAAGTGACACCCGTGACATACGTGCAGCCAACAGTTGCAGTTTTTACTCAAACAGTCAGGCCGCTCGTTCAACAAAGCCAAGTTCAACAACAAGCGAGTGCGGAACAGACTTACGAAAACTTAAATGTACAGCTGAACCAAGAAGGCTATACCTATAGCCAACCTGCTGCCCAAACTAAAACTGCCTCGACAAAACCTGCTTATTCCGATGCCAGTGCAGTGTCACGTCAAGAATTCAATCTAAACACCGGTGGCCAATACGAGTCAGGAAAGGACGTCGTATTTGTTTCCACCACACCGTCAACAGTGGTCTACGAAGACCATTATGCTACTCAGGAGATATCCAACAATGGTCAAACCTACAAAGCACCCGACTATATACCGCCTAAAGTGGAACAAGAGCAAGTATATACAGTGTCAACCCCCTCCACACCCGTTGTTTATCAGCAAACTTCTACATTGTACAGAACACAGGATCAAAACGATTATAACCCCGTTGAATATTCACAACAATACGACATTAGTCAGACACTACCACAAGTTACTGTCAGTCAAACTACTGTAGATCTGCCTAGGAGAAATCAATACAAACAAACTGCTTACCAAGCTCCAGAGATTCAAGTTGGTTATAAGGCTGAAGAGTACTTACCGCCGGTTGTGTCAACAGTCACACCCGTCGTGACTTCTACTTACAGGCCTCCCACCTACTCCACCGTAGCCACCTCTCGGGAGTATTTACCAGCGAAGACCACCTACGAATATAACGGACCTGAATACTTGCCACCACAAACGACATCGAAACCAACCACCCAATCGAGGGATTATCTACCACCGGTGTCACAGACTTTCGAATCGAGAATTACGAATGTTCCTTATCAAGATTTCTCGGTCCCGAAAGACACCACGACAGTCGTGTCCTCCACGTCAACGCCTGTGTATAGAAAACAAAACATTGTCGTCGAAACTGCCAAATCGCAACTACTCGGATTCGAATCTGTGGGCACTGATGCCGGATTAGTTACACCAGTGAGTTACAGCACCACAGCACCCGTAGTCGTGTCGACCGCCGATAGTTACTTTACACCCGCCAAAACAGTTACTTCGACGTATGCACCCGAGTTGGTAGAAATAACTTCAACAGCGCCCCGACGAAGCAGACCAAAGTATGCCAGGCCGTCGGTAACATCCACAACCTCAGCCCCGTCTTATCAATACTTCGAATCGACGACGTACAAAGCACCTGAATATTTGCCGCCTATCGAGAACTTGGCGACTGTAGGAGTAAATAACGCTGACGCATCATTCACGATCAACGTTAACCCCTATCAAGGACCTTCAGCCCCACTGCAGAGGCAGCAAAATATCGTCGTCGAAACTTCAAAGTCAAACTTGCTTGGATTTGGAACAGTGGGACCGGATGCTGGATTAGTGTCATACACAACGTCCGCTCCAGTATCTAGCACAGGCGCTTACAAAACGGTTACGTCGACTTATGCCCCAATCGAGCAGGAACTAGTAGTTACGCCTTCCCTAGTTCCAGTACGTCGGACCAAACCTAAAGTGGCGGTGGTAACTAAGATCAACGACTTCAACCCGTTACTGGTACGAAAGTTAGGGGCGGTGTGCAGTTGCCAATCGCCTGTCCTCACACTGAAGGGCAGAAGACCATCGGTGAAGCAACAAGACGTCGACAGCTACAGCACCAATTCCGAAAGCGCGTCGCAGACGTTAAGGACTCAAACACCGGTGGCAACGACTGTCGTCACTCCGACTCCAGTGGTCACATCGACCTTCAATCCCATCATAGTACCCGATGACTCGTTTTACCAGGACTACCAGGAGGCCAGCAATGACAACATAGCCATCACATCCAACGGCAATTACGCGTCGAGCACGCCTGCGGCGATATCCACCACTGAGAGGGTCATAAGAATACGTCCCCGAGTTAAGGCGGCCACGGTTGCACCCACTTACAGGACGGTGCTGTTGAACCAGGTGTCACCGACAGTACAAATTCAAGAGGTGGAGACGGCGACGGATTCCCAATCGTTCGACCGCTACGGTCCGGGCGGATGGAGGGGCCGTGACGAAACGCTCCAGGGCTCCGTCGACTGCCAAAGGGCCGGTTTGTTCCGTCATCCGAAACAGTGCAACAAATTCTACGCGTGCCGATGGGACTGCACCAAGCAGAGATTCACGCTCCACGTCTTCAACTGTCCCGTACAGCTTAGCTTCGATCCTAATTTGGGTGCTTGCAACTGGCCAAGCCAGGGGCCCGCTTGCCAAGGCGACACACTTCTCACTAATGCCCTCTAAATAAGTTCCCTAATAACAAAACGAATCTCGAAGTGCCATCGAAAATTGTGATAACGTGTAATCACAAGATTGTCTGCGGTTTAAACTATACGTCAACTTTCACCAGGTTGATACATGTCTATCTCTTCTTTCTTCCTATGTCTTTTCTTAATTCTAGAAGCTTATTTATTTGTTTGATTTTGTTAATGTTATTTCATAGTTATTTATTAATCATGTGCTCTTAATAAAGCTTGCGCTCGCTAAATATTTCTAATGTAAATTCGAAATTTTTGATTGAACATCAGTTACCATTGTCTAGTTCGTGTAGCATGTTACGTTTTGTAAAATAGAGGATCGTATTTTTTTGTATTTTTATAAATTATTATAGAAACGAAACGCTGTAAATATATCATTTTATTCATTAACAACATGTGTTTATAATTGTAAGTTTACCTTACTTGGAAGCATTAAATGTTTAAAGCAACTGGTTTTTCTAGTTCCGCCAGAATATCTTTGTATTTAACAAGCAGAGGTTCAATTTCCTCTTCGAGAAACTCCGTCACTTGCTCGGGCGCTCTTCCTATAAATGTGGAAGCGTCCAAAATGCTGTCCAGTTGTGGAATGATCGGCGTGAAATAAGGGTCCTTCTTCACGCGATCGATCAAATCGTTGTCCCTGCCGTGCTGTTTCACTTGCGCCCCTGCCTCGTGAGACAGCACCCTTATCTTTTCGTGACAAACTTGACGATCTCCGCCGGCTTGGACCATCGCCATGATAATATTCTCCGTGGCCATGAATGGAAGCTCTTGTGCGATGTGACGCGCTATAACCTTGGGGTACACCACGAGACCTTGGCATATGTTCAGCAGAGTGAGCAGAGTCGCGTCGGCAGTGAGGAAGGCCTCTGCCAGTGTAATGCGTCTGTTGGCAGAGTCATCGAGGGTACGCTCGAGCCACTGCACCGCGTGGGTGTTGGCAGCGTTAGCGTGGAGGGTTATCAAATGGCGAGCAAGCGCGCAGCAACGCTCTGATCTCATCGGATTCCTTTTGTAAGGCATAGCGCTAGACCCGATCTGAGACGCCTCGAACGGTTCCTCTAACTCCTTTCTGGACGCCAATATTCTTATGTCTGAACACATTTTGTGCACCGTCGCTCCTAGGCCGGACAGAGCAGATATCACTTCTAAATCGACTTTCCTGGAATAGGTTTGACCGGTAACGATGTAGCGTTTATCGAAGCCGGCCAATTCAGCGACCCTCTTGTCTAAGGCTCTCACTTTTTTTGAGTCGCCGTTGAACAGTTGGAGGAAGGAAGCTTGGGTTCCCGTCGTGCCTTTAACCCCTCTGAAGCGCAAATCGTCTCTCGCACGAGACAAGGCCCGTTCGTCCATAACTAGATCGCTCAACCAAAGAGAAGCCCGCTTCCCTACTGTTGTCAGTTGTGCTGGTTGCAGATGAGTAAAGCCGAGAATTGGTAGCGATCTGAAATTAAATAAATAAATACTTTATCATATATCTTAAAAACATGATTATTATGAAACACTACGTATACTATTTTTTTAGATTCACCAAGTAAAGACAAATAAAATTAGATCCTAATAACTAAACATATTTATATTTAAATTTCTTCCATATAGTTTTAAGTAGCTATTCAATGATAGATTAGTAGATTCAATGGCAAATAGTAATAGCATTAGTCCAAGTAAACATAGACGATACAGAATGCAGCTTCAGCAGTCATTGTCTTATTTTGAGCTTGTGGTAACGAGAACGTTATTTATTTTCTATACAAATATTGTTTTAAGCAGGGATTCTTCTTGTCTCTATTTTGGAAGAATATAGATTAAAAGGAAAATCAAAAATCATTATAATTTTTAACTTAATTTAAATTTATTACTTCGTAAATCGGATTTCTTGCTAATTTTGTTTTATTTGTAAGTTGTATTTTTCTTGTCTAGTTCTTGGAATTCTATTGCATAAAAGGTACAGAACCCAAATATAGATAAAATTTTCCTAACCAAGCGATTTCACTCGTAGTACATAGATGGTGGTTGCCAATATTACAAAGGGTACCTAAAGATATTATGCTGATAATGAACTAGTAAAAAAGTCACCGATAACCGATACGGAAGAAAGATTCTCGAGTGGCAGCCTAGTATTGGCCATTGTTGTGTAGGACCTCACTAGACATAGTAACGAACTGTGCAAGTATGATGCTGTGGAAGTCGATGAATGCAGGTGGCCGAGGATCGTGCTTCGTAGCGGTCAGTGGAGGAGGCCTATGTTCAGCAGTGGACTCTCAAACAGGCTGATACGATGATGATGTTGATAACAGTTGATAACAGTCACCCAAATTTCACTTCATCTCTGTACGCTTACTTGTTCTCGTCTGCGAACTTCGACAGCCGGCTTATAACGGCAGCTAGCCTCGGCAGCAGTAGGTCCAGGCCGTGCCTCAGGACGATCAGGTCGGTGTTGTCCCCCACGTAGCAGGAGGTGGCCCCCAGGTGGATGATGGGGGCGGCGCAGGGGCACCTCTCGGCGAGGGTGTGCACGTGGGCCATGACGTCATGGCGCACGCGTTTCTCGTGGGCCGCCGCCGAGTCGAAATCGATGTCGTGCACGGCCGACTCGAGCTCCTTTATCTGTGCATCGGTGATGTCTAGACCCAGCTCCTGAAATTTGGGATCGGTTTCGTTTAGAACTTTATCAGTACATGCTCATTTAGATAGACCGTTCAACGGAATTTGGTTATTCTACGGAATGAAACTAACCAGTATGCAATTTGACAGTTTCATTGAGGCAAGCATACTGATTTATCTAGAGCTATATAGGTATTTATCTAGGTATATACAAATCACAAAAGCAGCTTTTTGTTTAATTTAAAACAAAACATTGCCCTTATTTAAGGATAACGTTATCCTGTGTTGTAAGGATGTTTTACAAACATAAATTATACGTGGACAACCCTACACTCCTCAGTACCCTTTCTTTGCGTGGGTTTTATTTTTTAGTAAACATTCTACTTTAATTTGCCCATACATCGAACTGTAGACGATAGCACCTCCAATCAAAATGAAATGTAATGATAGGGTAACGATTTTTAGGAAAGGCGAAAAAGATATTAGAAAGTTAATCACTGCCTGTTAAGGGAAAAAAATGTTGGATTGATAGGTTACATCTATATTAGATCGTACGATTTGAAAATTGGTTATTTTATGGTCTATGGCATAAAAATCGATAGAGTCGTACTATTCCTAAAGATATTGTGTAGAGTAAAAATTTAGTGGCATAAACAATAAATTGTCATGATATAATGAAAAATAGATACATCTGAATGAAGCGTGCTTAGTAAAGAAGGCGAAGCCGAAACAACGCAACGTGCAACCTGTCCCACTAATTCGCCGAAGCAGATAAGATTAGGCACTCGCACGGACTGATAAAAGCATAGGAACTGATAAACGTTATCAACCAGTAACTGGTTACCTGTCATCTAAAACGGACACGGGACAAAGGGACCGAAGTGCGAAATCGAAAGACAAAAGAAACGGAAAGAAACAAGTGTTAATTAGTTAGTTTGTTAATCGACGACTTGTGCCAAAGTGACAATGGTTTCCGTTCAAACGATAGCCACAATAGTGGTCAAAGTGTTCAAAATCGTAAGTAACAGTTCTCCTATCGCCGGCTGTGTTCGCCATTTCACAATGTGTTAAAAGATCGACTCAGGCATCCAAATAGAAGTAACAGCCATTTCATGCAAAGTTAAACGTGTTCTGCGGTATTCCATAAGAAGTATTCCTTATCTCTCTTTATCGTGTCGATATTTTCGCACTTTTAGAGTTTGTATCAAGTATCACCATATATCACAGGCCCACGATTCTGCCCTTTCAAATGAAACATTTCTTCCCATCTGATAGTTGGTCGGCAAATACCACGCCTTTTGAAACTTATGCTACATTTTTAACACGAATAATTACGGATTTATGATGTTATGTCTGTATAGAATATTATTTAACACATATATCTTACTCGTATATGTTTAGAATCACTAGCGTATATGGTCGAATTTAGTTTGTCTGCATATCTTCGAAATATATCAAACCTAGAGTATCGAGTATTAATCAAAGTGTCGGCTATACACGATTTAAATAATTCTTAATGTATACTACTCCCAAAAGAAAAAATATCTTTCAAGAAAGTCATAAACTATATGTTTTTTCTACCTTCTTCTTTTTTTCAAATTAGGTTTCCATAGGCTTCGCGCGTAGTGCTACAGTAATTTCATACTTTGAAAATACTCTTCTTAAACAACAAATCGGTATGTTACAAACACGAAATAATAATCGTTATGCAGTAAAATTAAGATTGTAATTATAGATAGCCGAAACAGATAAGAAGACAAAGTATCTGGACCTGGCTCACGAGGTGACCGACATGTGGGGTGGTGTGCCGACCGAAATTATCCCGATAGTCGTGTCTGCGAATGGGTTAATCCCAGTCAGCCTCTCTAAACATCTGAGGCGACTGGGACTCCGGGACGGATCGCTCCAAGCTCAAATGCAGAAGGCGGTGCTCCTCGATACCGCCCGCATCGTCCGCCGGTTTCTCTCCCTATCGCCCTAACCCTCGGCCGTTTGCTCTCCGATGCCGAGGGCTTCCGTCTGGTTGGGTCCTATTTATATATGTATTATAGAGAACATTTATATCTATATGTTTATTTTTATCCATAATATTTATTTTATATATGCAATATGTAATATATATTTTTTATTTTTATTTATAAACCCAACCAAACGAGAAAACAAATGAATATCCCCCCAATAATTATAGATTATTATTAACAGTATACATCAACGTTATTTGTATTTCTACGCACAGTTAACCGATATAAGCAACAATAACGCTAATTTAGTAGCAATTATTCGCCGAACATGGGTCGAAACAGTAATAAGTAACGATTACAGGCAAATAGTGTGTGATTTATTCCGTTATGAATCATTGAAATGCTAAATAAACTATAATCAATAATAATCAATTAGTTTCCATTATATGATAACATATTACTTGGGTTATTTTTTATATTTGATTTGCCAATATACGTACTATACGTATACGTATTTATTTAACATTAAAATAACCAAGATCACGATATTCAAATGAACGGGAGAGTCACGCTGTAGTGAATAGTTTCTATAACATTTCTAAGTAGTCGAATCAGATTTAATTCTCGTTTTTATGGGTTGTCCCAATTTGCTTGTTTTCGTTTAGTTAAGTTATAAAGGTTGATAGGCCCCGGCGGCCTCGTTCCCTATCAGAGGAGATAAGCCCCACCTCGATGGTACAGTTCTACGTAGATAGGTGACGTTCATTATAAAGGGCGCGGATACTAAATCCATTATACGTTGGTCCAATTTATCAATTACCTGACGAGTACCGAACGAAACAAAGTAACGGAAATGAATGATACTTTCTGGTACTCAAAGATTATGATTTATATGCTTATGGGTACATAGTATAGGTAAAAGTCCTCAGACCATGAGCTAATTATGTATTATTAGTAATGGCTCAAAAATTTTCAATCAAATCGGATATGTTCATAGGTTTAAAAATGTTTTATTACTAAACTGGTAAAAGATGAAGAAAAGTCGTCTAAGCCAACAGATTCTTCTTTATTTCTGTCAGAGAAGTGAAAAGTGATTCGTGATTTCTTTCAAATCTAAAGCGTGACTTTTATTCGCGTATGTGTGCTGAATATATACCTTAGGTTTATCTGTTCATCTAATATTGTAATTTTGAGTCCCTTTTATTCTGTTCGATGTATGTAAAGTAGTAAATATGTATACGCTTAATTATAGACTGTTTTATATGTATAGCGCAATAGACTCGTAACGTTTGTCCATTTTTCGAAACAGTAGAGCAAATAGCGTTATCAGATAACTTAGCGCGTTACTCACTCGTGCGCGGATCACTGGTAAACCGCAAATTGCTAAAGAATGAGTAACTACATGACTAATATTTATAAGTACTTGGAGGGCCGTTTACACTGACTTGTACATGTCGTACGGTGGCGTTTAAATTAGATCCCCTAATTAAATTTATTAAACAATTTTTTTTTAATTGAGGGCTGATGGTTCACCGCCGCCCCTGGACATTGGCAGATGCATTGCCACGTTTGAATCATCACCAATCAGAAACCCAGAAGTGTGACACTTCCACGTCACGTTTTTCTTCGGCGAGGTCGTGGTATTCCCCTGGACGGACCTGCCCATTTGTGCAACAGTTTTGCAGATTCCGACGTATTGTTGGAATAAAGCGCGAACAGCCGACGCAAGTTCTATTCTCAGGGGATTCATCAATGAATTTTTCGTGTTTCCATTTTTTTATTTTCAATACGAACCATATAAAGTTTGTTATCAGTAAAAGTAAGTAATCAGTAACAATCAGTAAGATTGTCTAAATCACTAATTATGAGATTAGAAGTTATATGTTAATGCAGTATACCCGTTTACAGAGCAGTTTAAGTTTAACTTGAAATCTCATTTAACATGATTGAGGTGTCACTATCAATTAATTTTTAGTAGTAATGACCAATATTGAGAAGTCTCAAAGGATAATCATAGTCATTTGCGCCCAACACAACTCTGAATATACTATATTACACGGTTTGAATATACGTATCACATTATGCAATTGTTTTCCTAACATAAGGTTTATTTATTTATGCTTTATGCACAAACTGTACAGAGGCGGACTTAATGCCACAGGCATTATCTCCCAGTCAACCTTGGGGTGGTACAGAGAAGATTCGGTAGGTGCAAAGAAAGATGTCAAAAAAAAAATAAATAAAAAGAAAACACTGTTAAAATATAAACTGTTGTAAATGAATGTAAATGCACATGTTAATTATAGTACAAATATAATAAATACTACCAGATGTATGTACATACATACTAATACATACATATCTTACTAAATATATACATAAAATCATATATAGATACATAAATAAATGTATACATACAATTATAAATACATACATACATATATATAAATAAATTCTGACAATTAATGATGGAGTTGACCTGACGACAAGTTTTTGAGGATGTGCTCACGTGCTTTTTTTTTAAAATACAAAGCGACTTTTAGCCAACCTGATTTTGAGAGGTAGCACATTCCACAGAAGGATAGACTGGATATGAAGGATGGATATGAAGGTTTATACTATGTTATTTCTTTTCACAGTCACAAAGTACATTTTGTACTTTAACAATAATCCGAATTGAGATTAATCATCTGTTCTTGCAGAGTAATATCTAATTCATTTCTAACTTTTAATTGGCCTTCTGTATTTGTTATCTAATACTTTATTTATGTGCTAGCTGTTACTTTTCCTAAAATTGTAAAATAAATAAATAAATAAAGTCGGCGCAAAAATCAATATCTTAGGAACTGTTCCGCTGCCTATATCAATGCTTAGTTATATATCTAGTTAACTTTCACGGATATCTAAGTTTAGCATTCAGAAGACTCAATGCTAGTAATCGTTTCAATCCACACTTCCTGTGACCGTCGGCAATTAAAGTCGACGTTATGATTACGTCTGTAATTGTCAGCTGCAGGGTACAGAGTAGTGATGGCCTCAGAGGCATGTTATTGTTTGCGATATTTTTAGTTCTTTCGTTCAAAAACTCTAGCTACCTAGGGTTGTCACGGATATCTAAGTTTAGCATTCAGAAGACTTAACAGTATTGAGTCGTTTAACTCTTTCCTCCAACTTAATCTAGAAATAATGTGATGTTTAAGTAGTTCCAATTAAAATTACATGTGAATGGAAATACAGCCTGTTACAAGTAGCTTTTCATCAATATACCTTCAGAATATTTCTTCACACAGATTAGCACAAAAACAGTCTTTAATCCACATGTAAATCATTTATTTATATAATAATACTAATTTTTAAAGACTCCTAGTTGACTTGAATTATTGGACATAGTAGTAGACGCCAATATATTTAACATGGTTGGTCTTCTAATTTTAGCTGAATGTACTATAAATGTCATACTCTAAATAGTGAAATTTATCCAAAATGTGTGCAAGCTTTGCTTATTTTGGGATTAGATAAGCTACGTAAAAATATGTTCAGAAATATTTTATTTGTTAATAGACTAACTTTCATTTACAAACTATAATAAAATAATCTCACTATTTACGTTTGTTAATTACTACAAATCATCTAGTCTTCGTGTACAATAATTAGCAATCGGAGTTGTTCTTTTTTAACTAGCCAATTGTTGGCTTTTAAAAATCAAAAATAACGGACGAAAACGTCTAGAGCGAAACTGCCGATATAATTGTTAATGAATTATTAGAATCAATCTCAATTTTGTTCCAATTTCTCACTTTGTGATAATCAATAAAGAATGAAACTTGGCAATTGTATTGTGTCAAGGACTTAACAGCGTCCAGTGAAACGTTTGTTCATTGCTGAATCAATTCCGATTTACTTGCATTAATGAGCCGAATGATTAAAAACTTTGTGGGCAATACGAATATCAGATTAGAGATTCGCTTTCCAATCCTGTGTAAAAAAAAATCCAATATTAGATTCGCCGACTACGACAGTCAATTTGCTTAAAGGTTATATTTCTCCACATATCAAACTCAATTTTCGCGCTCACGGGACAAATGAAATAAACAATGCTTCAGGCGAAAATGTTTCGTTTAATAGTTTGGAGTTTTTTGATGTTGCAGTGGTTTTGATGTTGCAGTGGTTTTGAGAGCTTTCGTACATATCCGTCAAATAGGTAAATAGTTGTGCTCAACTTAGCTGCTGATAAATGTATCGATTAATGTTAACCTTTGTGATTGACCTTTAACCGCAGCTCTCAATAGTTCATTAGGATTACTTCTAAGTTTAATAAAATTATACGTAGCACTTCATGACAACGTCTCACTACCATTACTATGTGGCAGACTTATAAGGTGCTTGATTTGCACAACATATAACGTTAGATGATTCACAAACAATTTGCCAAACATTGCTAGGTGTAGGTATAGATAAGTATATAGATAATAACTCTATTACGAGTCATCAATGAAACCATAGATAGCATGATGGATGGAATTCCTAGAATAGTATGAGCAACTTCTACAGATATCAAGAGCTCCGTGAAGGAATAGTTCATATTCGAGTATAGTAAGCAGACCTTGTTTAAATGTTGAAATGTTTTCCGAAGAAACAACTATCACTGTTACCAATTTGCTTTTAAACAACCATTACTGTCACTGCTCTAATAAAAACAATGTATTAGGTTGTATGTTTAAGCAGTGAGACCACAGGAATTAAAAATACTTTTTAGTCTATAGTCATCAAAATTTTTAACTAATATATATAAAACATGTATTCAATGTTAACTTTAAACATCAATTTAGAAAATATTAAGACATGTAAAACATATAGCTTTTATGAAAGTTTCTTTACCAGTTTCTTTTTTAGTTTTATATCCACAAATGTTTATGCGAACAGCGATCAAACAAATTTGCAATTAATAAGTCAAATTCCGGCCGAGTGATTTGAGCTGTGCCAACAAAGGGAAATAGAAATCGTCTAATACTCAATTAGCAATAGTTTCTTTCGTTAATTTGACCAATTAAAAATCTCTATTCCTCTTAATGTCCATGATAATATCTGCCGTTAGTTTTTCAGCGTATATTATCAAAAAGCGATAAGTTTTTTGAAAGCCATTGAAGGATTTCGAAGCATTGTTTGTTTTGTTGGCGTTTTGTGCTGTTTTTATAATACACTTCCTCTCTATAAGGTCTCCGAGGCCGCGATCACGGTCAAACGTGTTAAAAGAGTCGTGAGAAAATGTATATCATCAATCTTATTACCCTACGAAAATGTTAAAATTAAAATTAATTGTTCGATTTCATTATCGCGTAGAACCGATAACCGTTGGGGAAGAATGGTTCTCGAGTGGCAGCCTCGTACTGGCCATCGCAGTGTAGGACGACCCTCCACTAGATGGAGCGACGACCTGTGCAAATGTGCGGGAAGTCGATGGATGCAGGTGACTCAGGATCGTACTTCATGGCAGTCTATGGGGGAGGCCTATGTTCAGCAGTGGACTCAAACAGGCTGAAATGATGATGATGACGATTATCGCGTTAGACGTAAAATTTAACTGTGGTAGGGCCACGCAACAGCATCGGCTGATGCACGATTGGGCAGGTCCGTTCTGGTAAGTACCACGACCTCACAGAAGACCTGCGTGACGTGGAAGTGTCATGCTTCTGCGTTTCGTCTGCTGAGTGAGGTACCCGGGGCCCACTTTATTAAACGATGGCGACGTTAAAGACCTCTGCAACCCTAAAGGTGTGGCAAATGTCCATGTCCATGGGCTGCGGTTATCACTTAACATCTGGTGAGCCACCATCTCGCTTGCCGCCTTCTCACATAAAAAACACAATATTCCGAAGATAAAACTTTAGTTTCTAAGCACTCACTTTGAACATATGGATTTGTAAAGTAAAAAGAGATGCTTAGGGATATAAATGGCGGAAATATAATATTCTTCTCTGCTCCTCCAATAGACGTAGATGTTTTCGTATATATTCCGGCAATGCTATGATAACACGTCACGAACTTTCGACCGATATCTTATCATGTGAACAAACAAATAGTAAAAGAATGTTTTTATTAACTAAAAACAAAACTGTCTTCAAATATCCGACTCACTATACATTTTCTATTTGATTTTTGTCCCCTGATGGATATCCAGAGCCCAAGGTCCAATACCAATGAATTTAAAATAGGACCACACGGAAGCTAAACTCAACCCGTTGCAAAAAAAATTTTTAAAAGTCGGTTAAACGTGTCCTTTTATTGTGGTTTTAATTTGAAATATTTATTAATTATGAAATAAGTGATATTCGAAGAAAGTCTGGCAATTTTATTTTCAAATATTACTTTTTGTATAATTAATATTCGTATCGACTATCACCAAAATCATGAAACACAATAACTAAAAACAGTTGATTCCATCAACATATGTAAATTCATTTACCTATGTTACAAATAAGCAATAACGACAAAAGTTTGGTTTTAAAAGTTTGGTTTTATGTATGTATCGTCATATTTTAGAAAGCGTACAAAAGTATTATATCCGTGTTTAATTATGTCTTTTATTTAAGATGACCATTTTGTCATTTTGTCAAATTTCTATAATACCGATCATGATCTGTTTTCAGGTTTTGAACATAGTGGTACTGGTGCTGTACCGTACCGGATACAATGGCGAGTTCCTCGGCGTGGGCGGCACTTGGAACCTGAACGAAGAGAAGAACCCCGACGCGGAAATCGTGGCCTCCGGGGTCATAGTGGGCTACCTGATATACACGCTGGTGCAAGTTGTCACGTTCCTGTTCGGCACCACAGAGCACAAGCGGTAATATTTGGTTTTCATTTCATCGACTTCTATTCGGACATTGCTGCAATGGAACTTACTTATTTCTTGCGTGAAATTGCCTGTGCATTATGAAATTATAGGGTAAAAAGTGTTTGTTTGAACTAGACACTAACAGAAGCAATGTCTTTTTTAATTTTACTTCTAGGTCAGTTATATTAATATATTAGAAAAAAGTCTGCCGATCAGCTGAGATACAGCATTGGTTGACTTTGCCCTGTGATTATGCAGTGTAAGCTACCTAACCTGTGACTTGACTAGTGACTAACCTAACTACTACTAATCATTACTAATTGAAATGAAGTGAATTATCTAGGTAGTTAACTGGTATTTAAAAAAAAAACTTAAACGCGCAAAAATCCGTTAAATCAGTTTTATTTAATAGGTTATATACGTTAAGAAACGAAACGAGCTTTAAATTCTATTATAAACAAATGAATGCTTGAACGAATTAACGAGTGAATGGGTGAATGAATGAATAATAATAAGTCTCAGTAAAATGGCTTCCCTACGCTCATCAGTAATATAAATAAGGCTGTTACTCTACATTGCGTCTTCCCAATTTCCAGTGCCTTGGGTGACATCGTGATGAACTTCGTGGGTGTGTTCCTGTGGATAGCAGTGGGCGCTGTGGCCCTCCACTACTGGGGCGGCTACCAAGGAGAGCACCAGTACCAGTTCGTGTTTGCTGAGAGACAGGTATCCCAGATTACCTTAACACTAAGCGATTGACTATTAGCACTCGTAGGGGGCAACGAAAGTATACCGAAACAGATTTGTACAGAAACAGCTGACGGAATGCAAACACACGCTTAAAATGTTTGTCTAGTCGGCTCACGTGTTTGTCTTTTTAGATATCACTAGCCCGAAAAACGTTGTCCTGTACACACGACTAAAATCCGACAACCTTATAAATAAAAAAAATTTAATAGAATATGTAGTGGTCCGAGTTGTGAATTTTAGAGTTGTGGTCCGATCTGAATACATAAAAAAAAATTCATTAAAATCGGTCCAACCGTTTAGAAAGAGTTCAGTGACATACACACATACAGGTACACACTCCGTATATATATATATATATATATATATATATATATATATATATATATATATATATATATATATATATATAAAGATAAAACGGTACGGAGACCACAAAAGAGGCAAATGAAAAATATTCGAGATAGTAAATGTGGATAGGTTACCATGTAATTCTATACGGCTTTCATTGAGTCTGTCAATTTGTGCAAAATTAGATGCTGCGTGGTTCTTAAACATAAATAGTTCAGAGGAGGTGCGCTGTTTGTGTAACAAGAGACTCCTTTATAAATTAACAACGCAAAGGCAATCATGCTGGGACGGTAACATGAACATTCAATTATACTAGGATACAACATTTTAGGCTCCATATTTAATTTAGTCGGAACGAAACATGCCATTAACCTTACTGGATCTTTGTAGATTCGACTATTGCTTGGGACATGTAAACGATAGCGTGTAAATTCTCTTTTTACATCTTCTTTTTACTTCTTCTAACTTCTTCGGTTCATTTGTTCCAGGTCGGTCTGGCAGTCGGCGCTCTCTGCGTCATCCAGGGTGCCGTCTATTTATTGGATACGGTCCTAGCCATCATCCACTTCACGAAGGAAATGTAGAAGATCACTTAAAGCCTAGACTTAAGGAAAATAAATTCATTATTTAAAATTTTCAGTTCATTGGCAATAAAAATAATTTGAGCCTATTGAGTACGCGCGGGAACATGCATTTTTGTATCCAATAACTTTTCTACATCAATTTGCAGTTATATTTAACTCTTACTATGAATAATGATAATTTAAAAACGTTATTATAGTTTTCTTAATAGCTCTCACATAAGAAACAGTTTTATCCCCACCTTGTGTTATTTAAATTAAGATTATGTTATATTACATTGGTATAGCTTTTTTAACTTACTGATGTATTTTGTACTGTTAATTTTATTTTAAATAAAGAAATTAAAATAAGGAATTACTAGTTTTCACTACTCTGAAAATATATGAAACGATTTTTTTAAACCGAGTTCATTTTAATGATTAAATAGTTACGAATAATTTTTATTTGATATTCGTTATAAATTATTAAAAACGCATACTAATTATTTAATAACCTCAACAATTGAAAGTTTCCTCCAGCGGCAATTATCCATTAACACTAGACATAATTTTTAATTTGTTTCGACAATAAAATTAATCGCACCGGAATCTTTAACAATATTAGTATTTTTTGTAAGTCTGTAGTCGGGTTAAATAATAAATAAATATTTCAGGATATGTTTTCACACAACGTCCCATCGAGTCCAATATAAGCCAAGATCATATAATTATATATTCTACTGGTAACTGATAAGCAAACTTAGACAGGTTTCTTTCGTAAATCAATACATATATAGATATATAAACACCCGGACACCAAAAAACCCTACGTTCATAACATAATATTTTTCCAGTAACAGGAACCAAACTCACACCCAATCACTAGCATTGTTCCACTATCCACTAGACCAATCGGTTCGTCAAATTCAAATAATATCATTAAGCTTATGTTTTCCCTTTGTAAGTTTCCATTTTAAAACTTCTAAAAAACGTCGTGAAAGATTTCAATTTCACATTCTGAACAGTTTTTATATTTCTCAGTAGAGTAAAACAAAGGGAGATCACGAAGATGGTTTCCAGCTCAGGACGAATCTAAGTAAAATAATTACAAAATTAGAGGTCAATGCAAGTGTCAAATTAGAGATGTCGAAGGTTAAACGCGATATCCTACGGGATTGGACACATCTGAATAATGATTCATTAGTGCCGTAGAATTTGAGACGGTCGCTCTACTCCTCAGGCTGAAACTATTAAAAACTACAATTTTTATTTAAATTATTACTAGCCATTTCACTTTTTTTTTAATTTGGCAACAAAAAGTCAAAAGTATAATAACGACCGGCAAATCGAACGAAACATTTTTGAAGTTTTTTTTACATAAATACGGACAAGAATCAATAGACTGGATTGACACAGCACGAAACTGGAGTGCATCTATTGCGGGAGCTTGATAATTATATCCCCCGTTTCTAAGGATTTCTTGTGCGAATTGGACATCGAAGCAGTCAAGATTGCTCCGCTAACTGAAGACGTGAGTGTTTTTTTTATTTTATTAAAGATATCGGGCAACAGTAGATCCGCACTAGAAAGTTAAATTTTGTTTGTTCTAATACGTCGATAAAGCGGATTCGGAAACATGTCCATAACCAACGCATCGTGGTGGGATTTATTACACTCGAAAATATTGAAATTATACGCAATAATGATTAGCACAGTGTAACTCGCACCCCCCCTTTATTGCGTATATATAATTAAAGTTATATATATTTTTGCCCCGTTATATGAATAAATCATATAACATCATTACGTGACCAGGATAAATTATTGATCTTTCTATAGGATCTTTCTAAAGGTAATAATTAGCCGTATAAATATTATTGTGATCGTCATATTCGGTAGGACCTTATTTACGTTGTGTTTATTTAGTAACTTGATTCTTTTAGGTGTATCTTGGATAGATAAATATTCACTAGTCGTGGTATAAGCCAGAGATAATGCTAGATTGCTTTCTTATTAAATAACCCCGACTCGCTTGAGACGGGCTCAGAGTATATAGTATACTCCCTCTCACGCTTGTAAAGGGCTCACAATATAATTTTAAACTAATATCCCTTCTCTCTTGAAAAGAGGGCTCACATCAATTTTACATACCCGATACAAGTCAACAGCTCCCCCACATTTTAAAAAAATGTAGGGAAGGCACACGGCTCCATGAAAACACTCACCAACGCCGTATGCGGTGAGCGCCAACCAACATATTGCGCCCCCCCCCCCCCCCCCCAAAGAGGGACCAAAAGTTGGGGAAAGGACCGAAGTCCATTGCAAAGCTGTTTTACCAGCATAAAGAGGGCTTGGCCCCTTGGCAGTGCGTAAGCACAAACTTTGACCGAAGTCGCGCATGACAATGCGTGTAAACGTCATACAAGCCGACGACAAATCTTTGTGAATGTACGTCAATACGGTTTTGGGCATGTGTTAAAGATCAGGCACTCTGGCCCTATGATATAATAAGCCCTCCGTAAGCGCCACCACTTTTGCCAGACCGCCGCGACTGCAGACGTGATTGTTAGTGTTTTGGCATCAACACCATTAAAAATGTTAGCACGACATTTCGTCGCAGAGCGCGTTATGAGTCACCGCTCACCCCAAGGGTATGGTTAAAACGTTGCACGGCATCGCCGCAGCCTTGAGAGGTTTTCTCCCGCCAGCTACCATCCACATGAGGTAAACGCATATACTCCACCAACCATTGAAATAGTCAGATATAGCCATAGTTGTGATTTTTATGTTTAGCCATCAGAAGGGTTTATAATTGGCAACATATATTTATTTGTCAGTGTCTCTGACGTTGAGTATAATGTATTTTCGATCAAGTTTGTCTCACCCACCAGCAAGTTGCCATTATTCGTTCGAACGGTGGGAACTTTACTGAGATTCGTTAATAATGATAAAACGCATAAAGAGGTCAGACAGTCTGCAGTTCCGTCATCAGGAACCCGACTTGGACAAAACTACTGAGATGTGCATCAAACCGAGACGCAGACTCGGCCATTATGAATAGCGTCGTCTCCCAAGCAAATGACGTAAGACGCAATGTCACTAAATGCAACATGCATCAATACAACTATCGCAGGTCAACACGCCAACATACAGCCTATCCGCATACACAGCAGACATCATCACCTAGAACCTCCGTCAACCAGAATCATACGATGCGATGATATTAGGCGCAGATCACCCCGCATATACCACAAGACGCATTACTGCATATAGCCGCACGCATCAATGTGACTATCGCGTAGGTGGCACACCCTCACACCACACCAATATAACTCCGATCAACTTCGGCTCCAAAGTTTAGAATATACTCGGAACACACGAAGTGTCCAAACATACTCTTTCACGATCCGAATGATAGTCGACGTATCATAGCGTAAACGCTAAGACGCCAACCACCAACGGACCCCCACCCCAGTCAAGCAATAGCCAACGTATCATAGTGGAATACACTAAGACGCAAGCCACCACCAGACTCCCCAAAGTCAGATGATCAGTCGACGTATCATAATGCACACACTAAGACGCCAACTACCACCAAACTCTTACTACGCCGAATGACAGCCAACGTATCATAGTGATGGTCACTAAGACGCCAACTACCACCAGCTATCGATGATATGTCCAACATTGAAGACATATCCATTCATGGTTCCACGTTTACCGTAGACCATATCGTCGTACAGAAGTACCACGCAACTCCATAGTAATATCTCTTATAAAGTCCCAAGTCATTCATTGCTCTTCATTATATTTATTATTTTTTCTCTGAGCCTTCACATATTATTACTTTTATCCATTAGACCTTACTTCCATATGATATTGGTATGGGACGTTCATACAATGTACTTTGACTATAGTACTAAGAGTCGCGATCGACCTCTGTACTTACATATGTGCGGTCATACAAATGTGTCCCCGCACGGTACATAATACTTCCCTTAGAAATCACTAAGTATGGAATTGTATTTAATGGACATAATAGTGATCGTATCTTGCTATATTTTTAATAAATATCCTTTTTTGAGTATTTTAAGTGATTTTTAACTATTTTTTATCAATTTTTGGTAACATCATTATCTCATACTAACACTTATATTTCTTAAATTTAAGTATATATTATTAACTTTTATTGTGACTAAACGTTCTTAAACGTTTTATTTTCATCTTAATTGATCTTTATTATGACTAATTAATAATAATATTTATTATTATTAATAGGTCGTTACAACAGGTTAAATCCAAAGTTTCACCGAGGGAAAAGCAATTGGTTATGCTTTTACACAAGTGTCTGTGACCAATGTAGTTTCGTGAACTCCGGAACAAATTTGAAAACGTCTTTCATAATTTTAAAGGTGCAATGTTCTAGTCAAACTATAGGTCAAATATTTACCAGTAGTTTTTAAATTAAAAAAATATTATGTAATAAATGAGTTAATACAGCAGTTACTGCTACATAAACGATAGATATAGATAGATCAAATAAAAATAAATGGAAAACTTATATGTATATGTCGTATTTATCTACAGTCGGAGACGAAAGTCTTGCCTATTTAGTTTTTTTAACTATGCTTTTAAAATACTGGCGGCTTATCCGAAAAATATATTTCTTAACTATATTCACTTGGGGAGTTGAGATTAAAACCTGTAATGCACCTGTGCCAAGCCAGGCCTTTGCGCTTTAACTCTATATGTAACATACAGTTGTTGCACAAAGAAATAAAGTCCATACTTAACGGTACAAGCAGACTATTAAAGTCGTCAGAGTTGAAATGTTGCATACGGAAACAGACAGTACTCGACTTTTGCATGCGGATCTTGGCTAATTAAATTTTCACTTGTTATTTAGTATATACATCCGCAGATACGTTAATCATTTACTAAGCGTCCGCGGCGGCTTCACGGTTGAAAAAACCTAGCAGTATTTCCCGCGTCTACGTATGAGACGGTGCTTTTGATACAGA